AAGTGCACCACGTAACGTGAAGACAACAGGTCTTAAACAGTTCTTAAACACATGAACTGTGTAAAAACTGGACTTCATTAATTGTCAAAAATACCGTAGCACATAACATGTCAAAAATACCGGATCATATAACCTGACAAAAATACCGGATCATATAACCTTACAAAAATACTGGATCACATAACTTGACAAAAATACCGGATCACATAAACTGACAAAAATACCGGATCACATAACCTGACAAAATACCGGATCACATAACCTGACAAAAATACCGGATCACATAACCTGACAAAAATACCGGATCACCGGATCACATAACCTGACAAAAATACCGGATCACATAACCTGTCAAAAATACCGGATCACATAACCTGACAAAAAATACCAGATCACACAACCTGACAAAATACCGGACCACATGACCTGACACAAATATTGGATCACATAACCTGACAAAAATATCGGATCACATGACCTGTCAAAATTAAGGTTCTTATGACTAATTCGGTTTAGATCGAAAGGATACAATATTGATTGGTTCAATGTGATACTATTAAAAAACGCGATATAAAAATCAGCGTTATGTTTGCATGTTTGATAAGTAATTTCATAGTGTTGTTTTTCGGGCGACGTCTGTCTGTTATCAGTTTGACCTCCTGTAAAATTATTAGGGCAGGACTGAACACAAAAAGAATTTTCATTGGTCATTTTAGAATTGCAAACTGAAATCGGTGAATCTCATTGATCATTCTTAAATAAAAGTAAAGGATTGTTCTAACCATTCTAAAATAAAAAGAAAAGGGTAGTTCTTATCATTTTAAGATAAATTTTTAAGGACAGATCTATAATTTGTTAATGATTAAAAAAAATGTTAAGTCAAACGTAAAGCAAGTTTAAAAGACACCTAAAATAGAAAGTGTCCTTCTTTGAAAATTATCGATATAAATATGCTATAATTTAATTTCAATGTTTACAAAATAGGCATTTTCTTAGCTACAAGAAATAATTATTATGTCATTGTAGTATGTTTGTTTCACTGACAATTCAAATACTTTTGTTTTGTTTTTTGTTATTTGTCTGCAAATAATAATGTATTAAAATAAGTGTTAGTCTTAAAAACACTTCTTAATTCATAAACAAGGGTGTCTGTAATGGCTTTATCTCACCTCCTGTCTGGAGTGAACATTTAATATAATTTTAAATACATACAAATTTTATTGTATAAATATGATATATTCTAAATTACATAAATAAGTTGTTTCATCCCGATGTTTTGATAATCACTACAGACCAGTTCATCTATAAATCTAACCATGAGTGATAAATGATTTTGTAAAACCATTTTTTATATTGCGTGATAGTGCTTTTATTACAAAATTTAGTACTAGTATTTTACAGTATAATTTCTTATGGCAGTTTTAAAGTCAAGGTCAATAGAGGCTATCAAACTTTTAGAATGTAAAATGTCTATTATAATTTTGCAATTAAATGTCTCAAATGACTTTTAAAATAATGACAATGTGCAATTATGTCATCATATTGCAATTGATTCATATGATGTAAATTACGTAAATAAGGGAGGTAATTCTTCAGTACATATTATACATTTGTATGATATAGATATTTGTGGAGTTATCCCTCTGCTTTGGATTAATGTTCCTGATTTCGAGGTGTTACATGCTCAAATTTAATATTTGAAAATACAGATAACTGGCATACAGTTTTTTTAATTGTAAAATAACAATCTTTTGAGTACACACATAGCACATATGTTACATTGTAAACTTTACATAATTCATTATATGTACTATCTGTGAACACAGAATGAATACATGTATATTGCTCTCATTAAAATAGACTGGCCAGGGTTTTTTTAATTCTATTTTTATTTTTTATATTAAGAAACTTAATTGGCTTATTCTTTGAGAAAAAAAATGATGACCTTTTGAGGCCGTTCAATTAATTTTATTTTTTTTCTTTAATTACTTTGTAGGTTTCTATGAATTCCTATTTTGATTAATGTATAATGACATTCCGTCCGTATTTTCACGGTTGTCCTGTTATGTTATTTGTCCGGATTGGCTCCTTACCGGTGGTCTTGTGTTGAGGGATTCCCGCCCTTCCTTGTTGATCTTATTTTTCATATCTTTTATTATTACTAAACAAGACACTCAAACAAATTTAGTTGCCCGAATAGGGATTCGAACCCCGAACCTCTCACGTGATAATTGAGCGAGAGTTACTCCAGGACCATAGACTTCCAAAATAGTTAATAAGGAAAACGACATAAGCAAACCAAATGATTCTAATTATAGAATTTCCATCAGGGTTTGTAATCCTTTAATCTGGAAATTTATTAAATTCTTTGGAACATGTTCCAACTACAACTGACCAGGTCTTTAGAATATCTGAAAGCCATTTGAATAGCCACTTCAGACACACTTTGTAAGCCATGTAATGGTGTAAATCATTTAAATATTCTTGATTACAGTGCGAAACAATTCTACAGCATATACAACTGTTTTTATTCAGAATATAGTAAAATGTCTTCTATTTTAATGATCCACACACGTTGTAAGAAACATAAATGCGCATTGATGATGGAAACATACACTACTATGAAATAGAATTTCTCTCAAGAAAAGCTTGGTATACTGGTAGTTGTGAAAACTTTTGCTGCATATAAAAACAGAAAATGCATGCCGAGTCAGATTTCCTAGGTGTCATCTCGACAATGATGACATTGATCAAATGAATAATTCTTGATTGTTGATGAAATCAGTTGATATGATCATATTTGATCTCTGCTATAATACTGATAATATGAATGATGATAATGACAATGCTGCAACTGATTAATGGATTGCTGTTTACTGCTGTGCTAATTATTTTTGATAATATTTTTTATGTTAGTGTACAGGATGACAAATAAAAATATGTAAGTGTACAGGATGACAAATCAAGATATGTTAGTACTGACGATGGAGAAGCGAGATATGTAAGTACTGACGATGGAGAAGCGAGATATGTAAGTACTGACGATGGGAAAGCGAGCTATTTAACTGATGAGCATGACAAAGCAAGATATGTAAAAAAATAAAATTTATATATTTATTAGGCCTATTTTTGTGTTGTTTGGTATAGGTTTGCTTGTATTAACAAAGAACTCTACACCGATGTGCTGGTCCTTTTTAATAATTATGCGTTCATTTTATAATCAACCTGGGGAATAACTCGGGATCTGATCCTTAGAGAAGAATGAAATATATTCTGAAATAAGAACAAAATATTGAACTCTTCTATCCGATTTTAACTTTGTTTTCATATCGTGTTATCATGAAGTACAAAACATGTTATATATATTCTTAAGTAGTGCGAAATTCCTAAACATGTCAATACATTACAATATAGCACTAAATAATAATAAATTCAATGCTCTTTTCAAATATACGAACGTAAATTGTAAGTACAGTTTGTTCTATCATATAATTATGAAATTAAAATAAAAATTCGTTAGCAGAATATTTTTGAATAAATCATAACTATCCAAATACTAGTATTCTATGTACTTCTAAGAATATAAGGATACACAAAAATAATGAACACTATGGACAGATTTTTAATTTCCCCTGATAAGAAGAATTTTAGCTTACCTGAAATAAGAACAAGTATTGATCTCCGCTATCCGAACTGCGGTTTGCCAGATGCGGGCTCAATATGCGGTTTTCCGAATTTTAGTGAATTTGGGGGGAAACGTTGTGATGCTTGACCAATGATAAGGTACGTCCTGATGTTAGAAATGTAAACACTATCGTGGTTATTATGTCCGGTTTGTACATGTATGTCGATTTATTATTAGTAGAATCATGCATAGAATCATACTTTATGCAAAACATCAAATTATGTCTTCTAAACATTCATTCCAAAGATGTTCAAAATATTAAAGTTGAAGTTTAAAAAAAAGATATTTCAAGTGATAGTATGAAAGATTTTTTTTTGAAATTTCACAATATCTACTATGCTGCAAAGAATTATCAACCTTGTTTACATTAAAATATTCATTTTCTAATAAAATCATTCTAAAATGGAATCATCGTCCTATATTTTTCACACTTGGATGCAGCACTCATGGATTATGAGTTTGACCTCATTGCATCCAGTTTTAAATAAATGCATCATGGAGCTACAAGTGTGCCCATGCAGTTTAGCTGAAAATCTATCCTTAGTACTGCCCAACAAAAAAAAGATAGGAATGAATCAGTATAATAAATGATAAACAAATTTACCATTTATTCCCAATTTATTATAGATGGAAATGACATGCAAATGAGCCAATGCATTATGAATAAATTGTTAATAAATCAGTGAAATGAATTGGTAATGAATTGGGTCCATTTACCAACCTATTATGAATTGTTAATAAATCAGGTTAACAAATGGGTAATGAATTTGGTCCTTTTCTTGACTTAGTCAATGAATTATCAACAAATCAGGTTAATCAATTGGCAATAAATTAGGTTCGCTGACCAACTGATTCATTAATGAATTGCAAATAAATTGTTAATGAATCACTAATAGTAATAAATTGTATTTTTTCTTCTTCCATAAACCGAAATTCAATGTATTTTATGAATCATTAACAAATCAGGTTTGCCTGCTTATATTCATCTAATGGATTTTGAATAAATGCAGGTTCCAATGATGGTGTCAATTCCGGAGAAAAATATGAAAATAATAATAATAATAATAATAATAATAACATATCTTGATAAATTTTATTCATTTTTCTTTTATATTTTACAAACAAAAGCTGACTAGATTAATCAAGAACATACAACAATATTAAAATTTGTGAAAAAATCTATGCCACCACATCATAACATTGAAAACTCATAATGTACGTGCATAGCTAATTTCATAAATATCCCTGCAAATAAAACAGGTAATGTCAGGTAAACAAGTAAAGGGGAATAATTCTGGAAATATTCGTGCTTGTTTTATGAATATATTTCTAGTTTTAGAAACTAGGGCTTTATGTCAGTCTGAAAACATCTTTGCCTTCCTTTTCAGTGTCTGTCTGGAGCTACGCCTTTTTTATTCCTATAATCATTAAATGTTGAATCTCTATACTGAGGCAATGAATGGCATACTCTGAAATAGAAAATAAAATTCTCATAAAAAGTATCATATTTATAAATAAAATATCAAAAATTAAACTTAGACTTCTGACATATCACTCTGAAAAAAGTATAATATATTTTTGTTCTATTTGCAATACAATCTGAATTTGAATTTCAACTCGAGCCAAATACACTAAAGGACTCAACCACTTTGGACTGTACATGTTCTATTGAATAAAAACCAGCAGTATATTTCACAACGTCTGATGGTAGATAAATATTTTGTTGATAAAACAAACGGGTGAATGTTCGACATTTTCAACAAAGGAATGAACAAATATTTTGTAGCAAGTCCAGTTTTTTACCATTTGCTTCAATTAAATTTAAAACGAAATTGAAAGGCTATGACATTGAATTACTATATGTACATGAACAAAATTCAGATTGAAAAGCATTATTTTTTATCATTTACTAGTACTTAATATTTAAAAAGCACATTGTCGTTTTAAAATGATAAATATATATGTAGCCCTATACTTACGCTTCAAAGACTCATATATGTCATTTCCTTGGAATGCCCTCGTCCCATAACTAATAGCAAACTCTTCACGATCAAAGAAGCCGTCCATCTGCATTTTATTATCTCCCGTTCATCTGCTTTTTACCATCTCATCAGAGTTGCTGATTTTTACGTTCTGTCCTTTCTTTGCTGCTCTTTTCAGTTTTCTGCGAGATAACTAAGTAAAAGAAAAATAGTCTTCTGAAGTCACTTAAAATAAAAAAGAACATCATTTTTCATCGCATTCAAATGTGCAGATGAGCTCAGTGTGAAACAATGCAGATTTATGTTTTTAAAATGGGCTGTACATAGATATCCTCATAAACAATGCATGTACATGCGTGCATATTTTAAAACTTGTATCTTGTATCATAAATATTTTTCAATCCAAATCAAATGAATAAAAAAATGTTTAATTTAAGGTGGTGCCATTAGGGTGGGACGAATCGTCACTAAAATGGGGCGAGTCGTTATGGGGCGAATCGATCGTTATCCTAATCTGCACATTACTCCAGTAAATTTTATTTTTTGCCAACTTACATATATGATCTAGATCTATAGACGCTATGTAGAACGAAAAGAAAATTTTGAACTTACCGTCTATCAGTATACCATCTATCAGTAGTCTAAATGCCTTGATATTGTTTTTTATCCATATTTTTGTGTAACACCACAAGTTTTCATCCTCCAAAATAACCGCCTTTTTCCTATGCATAGAATTAATGCAAACGAAATGTTATTTCTAGCTACTATAGTATTGTATAAAGTTCCTAATTTTGCAGCTGCAATGACAAAATCTGTTGTAAGTTAGTTTGTTTCTGACATTAGTTATATCCAAAAGAAAGAAAACTGTTTGTATGGTAAGATATCTTTTTTCTGAAATGGCAAAAAAATTTCGTTTCCTATTAATCTTGTTCTGTTGTCGGCTGATAGGGGGCGCTCGGTAGGCTGCAGTTCCCTGCAAGATCTTATCGTTTAATCGTGCGGCTGGGAGCCATGCTGTTCAAAACAATAAACTAACAACAGATGTTAAGTCCGAGAGAATTAATTACGTCGCTTTTTTACGACATTTTATCTTTTTACGCATATACTTTAATCTATTCGACAGTTTTTTTACTGATAATGATAGATCTAATCATAAAAAGCCGTGGGTATGGATCAGATTGCGTATCAACAATAAGAAAGACAAAAACTGATCTTGATCACTCAAAAATAAAATCTACATGCAAATTAGTTAAACATATTTAACAGTAAAACGAGTTTGTATAATTGACTCTTTTTTTACGTTTTGCGCTGAGCATGGAATTAATAATATGGTGATGCTTAAACTAAGAGACTTGAAAAACCCATATAATATATATTTTCCAGTGACTGTTTAAAAACAAGTACGTACGGTAATGAGTAAAGGGAAATTAAAAAAAATATATTTGTATAGTTGAGAGGGGTTTAATTGTTATGAACAGTAAAACAAAAGGACCTACATCAATGAAAATTTCTGTTATAATTCAGCAAATTATGAACATCTGAAGTACAATGAATATGTTATGAATTGTATTGAATAAATCCTGGAAAATCTCTGATTTTAATTAATCATGAACAACTTGTGAATATCTCAGAACTTTAAAGTGTAATGAATTTGTAATAAATGGTATTAAATGCAGTCGGGAAAAGTTCTATTTCCAATAAATCATGAATAAATTGTATACATTCCAGTTCAAGTGTAATGAATTTGCAATAAATTGTATTGAATATATCTCATGTTTGTAATCAATGGTTAATAAATCTGTCTTTTGTAATGAATCTATAATAAATGGGGTCTTTTCTTTCCAGTAAAAGCACAATTTATTTATGATTCATTTAATGAATCATGAACAAATTGTATTAACAAATCAGGAAAACATGATTTATTCCAGATTTATTCACAATTTTGATATAATTTGTTGATGTATTTTTTTGTTTGGGATATATATATATGCATGAATGTTTATTTACGGAAAACTGATCTAACTTTTCAAATATCTTTTAAATTTAATGATATCACGATTTAATTTAATTAGTTGGTGAAACTCGTCCGTTTTTTTATATTTATTCAGCACCTTTTCCCTGTTTTGGCCACGTTTAAAATTGAAAGGAAATTAAAACTTTATAACAAAATTATGATTTGACAATTAATACAAATTCTTATACTATATTTCAGAGAAGGCTTATAAAAGTTCTTGACTGTGTGAAACTGAGATGGACTTCTCGTCTGTACAAATATTGGGTTTGGTTTAGAATGCATTTGATATGTTTTTCATGTTATATGTATCAGAAACAATGGGTTTAATTTGATAAATATTTGAACTAAATTCCTTTTGTTGTTTTGGTCGTTGTCGGCTATTGTAGGAAGTATTTTAAACCGTACCGGAAGTAGACAAACATGCCGACCATGGAAGAGTAAGTTAAGCGATGATTTTTACATTTTCTGTTACTTAAACTTTAAGATCTGGATTGAGATGTAAAATTTCTACTTTTTAATTTCAGAAATAAACCAATTAGCTGGGCGGAACAGGTTGAAGCTGGAGAAGATCGTAAGTAAACAATACAATATGGTTTACTTTTTATATTCGCACTCGATGAGGTTCGTAACTTAGCAAAAGTTAGGTGTTCGGCGCGTTGATTGGTCACTACCACCGTCCGCCCATTCTACAACTCTCCTACCTCTCTTAACCATGTAAACTGCAGTATTTTTCATGTGAAGCATTTTTTGATATAGGGTTTATGCTTTTAATTAATTTTCCTTCATTTCCCACAAAAAAAATTAAAAAATTGATAGACGTCTACATTTATATTTAGAAAAGGTATGCACCATTGATATCTGTCCAGACACACGGGACTGTAGTGTAGACAATTTATGTAATTTTGATACCTTCCTTGACGAGCCTCATAATTATATAAGTGTCAATAATATCAGAAATAAACAAACTAATTTGTTAGTGACATACATGTAAGTTAGGAGAAGAACCTAGCTGTATTATCACTGTGTCAAATTTTCATGTCTCTAGGTTTTAAATTATGAAATCTGCATGGAAAAATGTTCTAAAAGTGACCTACCAGTAAAGACTAAAGGTTTTATTTGTAAAACCTCTAAAGGTTTTATTTGTAAAACCTATGTGAGCCTCAGTAAGTGTACCATTTGAATTTCGTGACCTTTCAGTTTCAACCTGTTATGACACAGTGCCACCTATGAGCTTAAAATATATGCTTTACCATGAGTCGTGGGCATTTCTAAAAATAGACCAGTGACGTGTGATGACGTCACCTAAAGAAGCATGGAAATTACATGAAGATGTTTTACTATTTTTTTTGTGTACTGTGATGATCTTCTGTGCATCTCTTTTAAAAGACTTATTTCCGATTATCTAACTCAATCTACATGTATATAGGTACCATTTTGCATACACATGCATTTTGCTTTTCCTTGAGTCGTGGCTAACATGTATGTCAACAGTATTGAAAGAAAACATTTGTCATATCTCACTGAACTATTTCAAGTTACCTTATCAATTTATTAAACATCATTATATGGCTTGGGCCTCCTATCTTTAGCGATTTAGAGTATGATTTTATTAATTTATTCGTACTTAAAAGTCCTCAATAAGATCTATTAAAGTTTGTAATCAAACTAAAATTAAACACCAGGGCATCTTTCATTCTGCCTTCAAAATCTTTTATATATTAACAATATTGTAGCAGCAATTGCAAATGATATTTTAATTAAGCAATGTGGTTTCAAATGCCGATTACACATAATTTGCTTTTTTAACAAATATAACTGATTGCAAAAAGATGGAGATACAACAAATGATTTCAAAATTTCATTCAGATGAAACCCGTGGCCCAGTGCTAGTTTATATTTCAATTAATAGTTCAGTGAGATTTACTGGGGCCCAATTTTGGCGCAAAATTATGTCGCACCTGTTCCAAACACGGAAACCAGTCGGTTGTTGTTGTTTTCAAAAAATGTAAACAAACCCTTCATATGGCCAAATGATTTGATTATTACAATATTTACAACTTTTTAACAACAAATTATTATAAATACTAACTAACCAAATACATTTTTAACCATACAACCTACCCATGACTCGAGGAAAACCCACGACTTAAGGAAAAGCAGCCATATACCAGGGATTATCTTAAAGTTATTTTGTACTGTCAAAAAAGTATGTAGACATTGATCCAATGTTCTTAAAGATCCTGTAACTCAATTTTTTATGGTTTAATCATAATGATCAAATGAAGATTTATCAATATTGTAAGTTCCGTTAAGGGAGGTAATTAGAAATTTATTTTCTATAAAGTCTAAGTAAAATTTTTAAATAAGAAATGAATGCATATATTTTAATGCTTACATATAATGTGGACAAATATTTGCAGTACATGTTTTACATATTCTTCGATGTTTGAAATTTGTTGTAGAAGCATGATTATATACATATATAAAATTTCACTCTGATGTTTATTCTCGCCCATATGGTCTCTTTCCGGTGGCGAGGGTAAACAAATCCAAACACACACACATGGTAACAACCTTTGTTACTACATAAAAGATCTTTAAAAGATTTCCAAATAGAAATTATACATTATGATCTTAAGCCTACCTTAGTTGCCAATATTTGTTACTAATATTTGTATGTTGTAATTGTTGCCTTAAATAAGTTTGCATTGAAATCTCATGTGTCTTTATTGGCATTCACATATCACAAAGAAAAAACGAACTAAACACAAAGGCATGGGAAGTACAGTAAAGATTTTATGAGCCATTACAGGGCCAAAAAACCCTTCTTTGTAGAGGTCGAATATAGGCTGCTTCCCCAACCAAACTAGCCTCTTTTTTTCCCCAGTTTGGTCCTCAAAATTCCCTAGTCTTGAAATTTCTCATAGAATGTAGAACAAAATAAAATGATGGTGTTGAATTAATGTCTTTTACTGCCTTATTAGTATTTCCCAGTGTTTTTTGCTTTCCTATTTTGAAGAAAGTTTGTGTTAAATTTGAGACCCCTTATCCAAAAGTATGTCAAAATTACGAATATTTTCCCCAAGATAAAGGCTGAGGCCCCTTCCCCAAAAATGGTGTTTTGGCCCTGCATTATGTTTATATAAAATAATGTTTGTTTTAAAGGTTCACTGCCACCAGCCTCTGAAGATTTTGATGAGCAGAATAGTATTAAAACTATCACAGAATACAAGTTCAATGATGATGGTAAAATAGTCAAGGTATTTTGTATTCTTACCTTCTTGTCTTTTTATGGTTGCAAGTAGTAGTACCTAAATTTAATTTCTAACAGCCTTACTGATATCATTTTATAATTGTTAAACAAAATTTATGTAAATTGGTGTGTGCATTATACTATAAACATTAAGTTAAAAGTTTATCTGTGTTAAAAAATAAATTTCCTTTTTGACTTGTGAAATCCTTTTTATATGCCCGAAAGAATTTCGGACATATTATGTTATACCCCCTGGCGTCCGTCCGTCCGTCCGTCCGTCTGTTAGCAATTTGGTTTCCGGAGCATAACTTAAGTTCCATTTGGCCCACAATATTCAAACTTCATAGGATGATTGCCCATATTGGGTAGAAGACCCCTATTGATTTTGGGGTCATAAGGTCAAAGGTCAAGGTCACTATGACCTTAAAACTGAAAACAGTTTCCGGAGAATAACTTAAGTTCCATTTGGCCTACAGTGTTCAAACTTCATAGGATGATTGTCCATATTGGGTAGAAGACCTCTATTGATTTTGGGGTCACAAGGTCAAATATCAAGGTCACTATAACCTTGAAACTGTAAACAGTTTCCGGAACATAACTTAAGTTCCATTTGGCCCACAGTGTTCAAACTTCATAGGATGATTGTCCATATTGGGTAGAAGACCCCTATTGATTTTGGGGTCACAGGTTCAAAGGTCAAGGTCACTATTACCTTAGAACTGAAAACAGTTTCTGGAGCATAACTTAAGTTCCATTTGGCCCACAGTGTTCAAACTTCATAGGCTGATTGTTCATCTTTGGTAGAAGACCCCTATTGATTTTGGGGTCACAGGGTCAAAGGTCAAGGTCACTATTACTGAGAAATTGAAAAAACAGTTTCTGGAGCATAACTTAAGTTCCATTTGGCCCACAGTGTTCAAACTTCATTGGATGATTGTCCATATTTGGTAGAAGACCCCTATTGATTTTGGGGTCACAAGGTCAAGGTTAATATTACCTTTGAATTGAAAATAGTTTTTGGGGCATAACTTAAGTTCCATTTGGACCACAATATTGAAACTTCAAAGGAGGACTGTTATTTGAAGGAGG